CTAAAATATATCCATATACTAGATGTTGTATTTAAGGGATTTCAGACGACACAGTTTTGTTAAACAAATAAATCTAAATATAATATATATAATACATACATCACTATATATATACATTCTGACTTACTGTGTCGCAGGTGACTTCAGGTGTTGGGTGTTGAACAGACGGCTTCGTGTGTGTTGTGCCTGAACCAGTTTGTGGTATTTGACTGGAGTGTAAATTACTCTGCTGATGTCACAGACCCACGTGTCCTCTCACATAGTTTAATTCCACAGCTGCACCTTTAAGTGCAGGTCTCCTCCTCCGCTTCATCTGTTTCCATTGCATCAAGATGTTTTCATCAGACAAAATAAAAACCGATTGAATCACCTGACTGTATGTGATGTCGTCTTTTTAGATTTTTACGTTTCATTGCTTTGTTTGCATTTATTTGGTTATACATGATTCACTTTTTAAAGTCTACTTTTAAAAAGGTGCTGTATAAATGAATGAATCATGAAAATGATTATTATAAAATCAGATCATGCTGAGTTAGAGCAACATCTGACAAAATATGACTTGATGGGTGTTTGTGTCTGTATGTATTTGTTTACAATATAAGGTGTCCTTAAGTGTCTGTAAAGTTACTGTGAAATAAAATGTATTACTGCTATTATTACTGTTGTTGCTGTTACCATTATTAATATTATTTTTGTAATAATCCATGCTGTGTATATTGTCAGCACATATAAAACACTTCAATCTTAAATCAACCCATTCTTCCACTTTCATATTAAAAACAATGAGTCAATGAACAACAGTAAACTCCCACGAGAAATGGTGATGAGCACCCACCTGTGCCAGAGCAACCATCTGCTGATAGCGTCTGCTCAGCGTTTACTGAGCCGAGAGTCTTGCAGCTTCTCAAACACAATTAGAGACGACTTTCCGTCAGGTCAGTCGTCCTGAGATCAGCCAGGAGGGCGTAAATTCGACAGCTCCTACAGAAACAGGACAGTTCACTCGGGACGCTGTGATGGTGTGTTTAAAAGTGTGTGATGTGCGGAGCCAGCCAGAGACACACGCAGAGTAAGCTGCATTAAAGGGCCGAGGGCCTCCAGGGCCTCGATGCAACCTAATTACAAACCGTTGTAAACAATAACAGGTTTTCAAGAAGTGTTTTTAAACACTCACATCAGAGAAAGAAGGTTCCTAGTTTGAATCCCAGCTTGCAAAGATATACAGATAGGGGACAGGTTGATTCGAGACTCTAAAGTGACCGTAGGTGTGAATGTGAGACTCAAAGGTTGTTTGGCCAGAGGAGGATTCTTGCTGACTGACTCATCTTCTGACATTTGCTCCAGCTCCACCAGTGGATCAAAGTTTTCACAGGGGATGAACTGGATTGTTGGTAAAGGCGTGTTTCATCTTCACCTCACTCCGTCTGTCAACACTGAACTGGTTATAGATTGTTTCTCCTTGTCTGTAATTTTAATAATAGGAAATCTAAATGTAAAAAAACAAACTTGATTCACAGCCTATTGTCAGCATGTACTTGTTTCCCTGCAGTGCAGCATTCCACTGCTCCTCATCTAAGAAAGATACAGTACATACAGTAAGTCACACAATATTGTCACCCAGACCTGAACACAAACAATAGTACAGTTCAGTTCAGCTCAACCACAGGAAACCAAACATTTCAGGTTCTTCAGACTGAATCCTGCAGCTCACTTTTACAGTTTCAGAGAGAATTGAATCAGTTTGTCCCTAATTACCCTGCTTGATAACAAACCTGAGTTGCTCTAGTGGTTATTTTCCCCTCACCCATTGTTAGCGTCTGATGATCACATCAATATTTTTTGCTGTCAACATTTCTTGTGGGTCCTCGGAGAACTTGATTTTCATACCACGCTAATCAAACTAAAAAACAAAAGCTCTTGCTGAACTGTCTCTGAGATGTGATTCTGGCTCTGAGACAGAGACACAACAACAACGTTCCTAACGCTGTACACTCAGCTCTGATTGGCTCAGGACTTTGGCTCATCACTGTCATTGAGGACATCCAGTGTTTTGAATTGTGAACAAAGTGAGAGATGTGTATGTATTGCCTCTTGATTTGATCGTTTACTTTACAGTAGGAGAAACATGTCAAACAATCCCTGACTGAACCTACAATCACAGACCAATAGAAAATATCCAAGACGCTCATGATATTTCACATTTAGTCGTTGATTACCTCAAACAAAGGCAAAAGGGATTCAGCACTAAAACATTTATCAAAAATAATGCTGCATTTTTGGCCTAAACATCGAGGTGGTGAAAATGTCAAAGGGTTGATGTTGCACAAATATCCACAGTAATTGTCCAATTGCCAAATGTGCAATAAACCTGCAAGACGAGATGAACTGGAACAGACTGTCACACAAGTTTACACCCAGACATCTTTGATAATCATCCTTCTATGACCGGCAGCTCTCTTCGTTAGGCTTTTCTCACAATGCGACCGCTCTTTCTTGCGTCTCTCCCGCCGCTGTCGGTCCTGACCGACTGGCTGCTCGCCCTCCGAGCTCTCAGACACACCTGGGAACTGAGGAGGAAGCACAGGTGATTAAAAAGAGGAAACAAAACCCTGAATCAGTCTTTCGTTTGAAAGACAACGATCTCTCACTGCTGAGACTAATGAGGCTGACTGAGATTGACTCATCATGGGTGGAGCCCATATATCTGCGAGACCACTCTACTGCAGAGACCCTGGCTCCTAATGCTCAAATGGCAGCGTTGGTGTTCATTAAATTTTGGCTCCGTTTCGGAGGTGGAGCTGGTGGAGCTTTTTATACAGTCGATGCTCCACACGCACCTCATTCTTTAGAAACATTAACTCACACCTTCAAAAATGTCCTCCTTTAAATGAAATGTTGTTTTCTTTCCTGTAAAATGGCCCCTTTATATTTGAATACTTTATATTTACATCTACTTTCTTTTTTACAGTAGCCAAAACTGGACAAACTAAACCACTTCAGACAACTGAAGCTCTCTCTCATGTTTGGAAGGGGAGGTGAGGAGTATTCAGCTGCAACCTGCAACTTCACCACTAGATGTCACTAAATTCTACACACTGAACCTTTAAAACACATTAACCCTAACCTAGCCTTACAAAATGTCTTCACCTCAGGATTTCATTATTCATGTCCACTTGAGGAGGACATGTCCCTATAATGTTTGGACTGTGTAAGGTCCCCACATAGCCAATAATACCTTTACCCCAGCCCATCACACACACACACACACAGACACACACATGCACACCTTGAGCACAGCAGAGGTCCTGCAGCCTGTTTCCGGGGCTTGCAGCTCTGCCTTCGCTGCTGCATCCAGCCGCAGACCAGCTCGTGTGCGATCATCACGTACAACAGGAAGATGAGCACGGCGGGATCCATTCAGCAAAAGAAAACAGTGCAGATGAGAGAGGCTCCTTAATGCTGAGGAAGAGGAGGAGCTGCCCTGCGTCCACTCAAACTTTCAGGCATAGCAATTTTCAAACTGCTGCTACTGCTGCTGCTGCTGCTGCTGCTGCTGCTGCTGCTGCTGCTGCTGCTGCTGCTGCTGCTGCTGCTGCTGCTGCTGCTGCTGCTGCTGCTGCTGCT